TGAGCCCCACTGTGTTGTGTGGTTGGTTGTGTTACAGGATAGTAGACAAAGTTGACCAAGTTGTTGACAGACATTTTGTCTTGTTGAATTTTCACTCCCCAAGTTCAATTGGGTTTTCGTCAATATGTTGGCAGCTGCTTATTTCAAGATAATTTGTACAGATGTTAGTTCATAAGAAACACACTTCGTCTCATAATGATGTGAATTATTTTTTTGGATGGATAGTTAAAATAATTATTTTATTTTTATAAGAAGCTTTTTGTTATTTTGTTGTTTTTTTTAAACTCAAGCTACATTTAAAATTTAAAGCATTTAAAAATAATGTGTGCATGATTTTTAGAATACAATATTATTATGAACAGCACACCGAGTTGATGTAATTGTTCATATCCTTTCAATGATTTATCTTTTGTTTTTGAAGGAGTGACATTGTTTTAAGGTTCAATTTGAATTAAAGCCGGATTATTTTTGGATGTATCTTAAAAACTGAAGAAACCCACATTTGTAAAGCGCTCAAAACACATTGAATACCTGCATTAATGCCCCTCTTCTGGTTTTTGTTGTTTTTGGGTTTTTTCCTGCTCTTTCCTGGCCATTTTATGGTGTGCCAGGTCTGTGGGGAATCCTTTTGTTAAACATAGCAACTTTGTAGATTTCTGTATTCTGTTTAACAGATCTTATTTTGGAGTGCATTCAAAATGTTGTTGTATTACCTTGGGCTCTCCACCAAGCAGGCTTGAGTCTGTCAAAATATATCTATGTCCCATATCTTGCTCTTACCTTTCTTTCAAAATTAACCAAAAACCAAACAAGACACCACTGTGCCTAAAAAAATTACTATTACTGGTAACAAAACAAAAAATTGCTTGCTTTGATTTTTCCTGAACCAAATTTGACAATTCCTAAAATGAGACATTTTGTAAAAGCTCCTCTTGCAAGAGCAATTTTGTAAGTTTCCATTTTTGTTCCAGATTAGCAAAAGATGAAAGTTGATTTTTTTTTACTTTTGGCAGCTCATAATGGTGTCCCCAATCTATTTGGGGAGACAGAGAAATTACAAGAAAATAGGGGGAGGGGGGGCAAGACGGACTTAATAGAGAAAAATAAAGAAACACAATTAGTTGGCATTTTTACAACATGACATGGTGGTAAAAAACAAAACTTCATACCCAAATTTTGCAAATTTTTGAGTTATTTTCTTGAATGTTCCATTTGCTATCACGCCCTTGGTTTGGCAGATAGCAGTCTAATCTGAATACCAGTACAAATATTTTGTTTGCGTATTCTTAAGTTAATGCTGCACCACCTCATTTTAGTAATGTTTTAAAAATGTATTAACTATTTCAATTGAACAACTTCATAAGGATGTTATGACTATTTTTTCCCCACTTTAGCTCTTTCAATTGTTTACCCTGATGTTCACGTCAAATTATGGCCACACTACTTTAAGATAAAAACAAACAATCATTTTTACAATTTCAGAAAGCCAGTGTTGTTTAAACATGTATGATTTGTAATATAATTTTGTATGTACTATTGTACTCCACCAATGAAATGGAGCTTGATTTATGACCTGTATGGATTGTTAATGACAAATAGTTCCCTTTCTTTCCGCAGAAGACAATTCATAACCCAAACATAATGTGACAGTGTTTTTTTTTTTTTTAACTGCTTTAGGGCAATGGAGTAAAACTTATAACTCTTAGAAATAATGTAGATATTTGGGTTTAGTTTGGACAAGTTGTGGCCACCCAGCATGTGGTAGTCAGGGAAGTGAATAGAAAAGTTAGGAAATACCAAACCTAGTATTAATTCAGTACAGTTACTAGTAGCACTGTTGAATAGTAGTTAATAATAAATGGTGGTTAGAAATAAATAGTACATTTGGTAAGAAGTTAGTACATTTAGAAGTAAGTAGAGTGGGTAACTGTTATAGAGAAGTGTCCTGCGGTCAATGACAAATCATGCTGCCCATTCAGCTTAAGGTACCATTATATTTGGGATATAAAATCGTGTGTGTGTGTACATATATGCATAAATTAAATAAAATAGACTAGTGTTGCCTAAAAATCATGCTGCGCCTTGTCTTGTAACTAAAGTTAATGAATGACTTTCATCTGTAAATACATCCAGCCTGTTGTGTGGAGAGTGCTCCTTCAACAGACTTGTAAAAATTGTACAATTGATTCAAAGTCACAGAGCTTCGTCAGCCATCACATTAACCCGCATAGCTCAAATAATGATGCCATTTTGAATGATATTTTAACCTATATTTATGTGCTTGGTGTGAGTGAAAGGAGCAGTGAACAAACTGTTTTCTCCCTGGCTGTGTTTGGTGAGTGTGGATGTGTCTTGCCCAAGTCACTGTTTCATAGGCATGTAGTTTGTATATTTTTTTCTTCCTCAGCTGCTATTGTTGTCCCATCGCCAGCTAAACATTTTTTATTCTTATGATGTAACTGAGGTCAAGTAATGTCTCCTCACCTGGGTCAGTAAACCAAATATCAAATATAGATGTCGCAATCATTTATTCATTTTGCTTGATTTTAATTATTGCCTATGGACAATCTTATTGATCTGTTTTCTTCCATCATTTTTTTAATGATCCATTGAATATTTTCCTGGAATACCTGAAACTTTCTATGTTTGATTTTCATCTTCAGTTGCAGGGGACTAAATATAATAGTGAGGGTAGTAGATCCTTAGCACGGGTTTAAATGGGAGAAGAATTTTGGTAAATTTTATTCTTGATATAAAAAGGAGTAGCAGTTCAGCAGAGGTATGATGGGAGTATGGTAGCATTTTAATATGAACTGGAGTAGAATTTTATTCTTGGTAATAAATTGGAGCAGCACTCAAGCAGAGGTAACGGTATAAATGGGAGAAGAATTTAAGTCTTGGTATAAATGGGAGTAGCAGTTCAGCAGAGGTATAAAAGGAGTGCTGTAGCGTTTTATTTCTGGTATAAATGGCGGTAACGTTTTAGCACTCGCATGATGATGATGATTTCTCATTAGGGTTTAAGATCTGTATTGGTTTAGGAATACTGATCAGGAAAATGCTGGTCATGTCAAATGGTGTGCACCATCATTTATAATTCTATTATCCAATACTTCTTCTGCAATAATTGTTTTGTCTGTAACTAGTTTTTTTATTTTATGGTTCTTTTTTTTTCCTTTTAAACAGATGCACCTTTAAAGATATAACATTGTTGTTATCAACTACTGGTAATAAATATTTCAGTTATAAAAAAGGGAAGCATATCATTAAATATAAATAAAGAAGTGATAACTTTGAAATAATTACCACATAACTTGAGAAAGATAGTGCTAAGAAGCAGTCTTTTTTTTTTTAGCGTATAACTTTTGTAATATTCTTTCCGCAACTGCCAATGCAGCACAGGCAGTGGATTATAAAAGTATAGCTAAAACACACTTTCCTGGATATTATAAAAATAACATAAAATATCTTTGTACAAATGTTGACTTAAGGGATTATTCATAAGAATATTTTGTGATTAATCATCATTAGTAAAGAACCACTGGATCTACAATTGATCCCAATTTTTAAACTATTTTTTGCTTTATCAAAAAAATAAATGCTTTGAGGAATTCGTTGACTTGACAGTGTACCTAAGAAACTAAATGTAAAAATATGCATATAAATTTTTGTAACTTATCAGAAGCTGATGCACAAAATAATTGCATGAATTTGCTTTCTAGAATTCTGCTCTATTTTTACGTACATGACATCTATGGTGCTTTGAAACTTTGTGAGATATGATAATTAAAAAACATTTTCCTTTATTATCATTTTTAATGGTCAATAGGGTGAGCAATCACAAATTCTTTAACCACACTGCAAAGCACATAAAGGTTCTGTTTGAGAGTTATTTGTGTGTCATGCATTGCTGCAACATCACAATCAATTTCCTTTAATGTTCAACAAAACACTCTCCCCCCCCCCCGAATCCCTCACATTGTTATTTTTCTGCTGTGTTATGTTGCTGTTACTAGGAGGAATCCTTGTTCCACAAGTGTGATTACTAAGACAACAAGATGTCAGCCAGTTTGTTACTGGTTGACTCTCTGACACCCTGCAAAGCACATAAAGGTTTTGTTTTAGAGTTTTTTGTGTGTCATGCATTGCTGCAACATCACAATCAATTTCCTTTAATGTTCAACAAAACTCTCTCCCCCCCCCCCCAATCCCTCACATTGTTATTTTTCTGCTGTGTTATGTTGCTGTTACTAGGAGGAATCCTTGTTCCACAAGTGTGATTACTAAGACAACAAGATGTCAGCCAGTTTGTTACTGGTTGACTCTCTGGTGGTTTTTTAGTTTGACCTTAGTCTAGCACTGCCTTATCTACTCTTTAAACCCATGTGTATACTGTACATAGCTCTTTTTGTTTGACTCGGTCCAATTGTTCATTAAATTTTTTTTTAATGCATTCATACAATACATATTCATAAGGCATAAGCGCTGAGTTGGGTTTCTTTAGTGAGAAATGGTGTGAGAAATTAATATGATGTTGTCATCTGTCCAACTGTGAGAGGTGTTTAATGTTAACAATTAGTGTATGAATCAGCTTATTTACCATACATGAATTGTAGCATCAACACTTATTTGTATGCCAAATACAATGTAGAAGGCAGCACAAATATTAATTTCCACTTCAGATTTATAAAGATTTGAAGTGATAAATATCATAAATTATAAAACTAAGTCCGAATTTTAGTTTATGTTGAATAAACTAGTTATTATATACACCGGTGCAAGAAAACCACAATATGAAAGATGTACAAATGACAACACTATACACAATTGTTCTGAAATATAAGTAGAGCCAACACAAGATACTGAATCAAACATTTATTATGTCAAAGGGTTTCTAGCATAAACCATTTAACTTACAAGTAGCAAAGGGCCTACTCCCTTTAGTGGGG